AAGCCACAAGATGACAACTCCAACTCATAGATCGAAAATCTATCCAGCAGACCTCTGTCAGATGACAAAAAATGCCATCCTCACACACAACCTCAGTTTCAACACCAAGGATGCAGACCCAGTCTATTTCCTAGCTAACTTTGAATCCATATTGAAAACAAACAACCTCAGTTACGAGACACAAGAGGACCTCAGGCAGAGAATCATCCCCAACATGCAACGAAGCAAACACAATGAAACATTCAGCAGATCTTCAACTTTGTTGATATAATTGGTTTTGTCCATTATCACAGTCAGTCTGTCTTTGTCTGCCAGTAGGATGACAGTGTTTTCATCTTGTCGCAATTTCTTTAACAACTTCTTTTCTTTCTGGTTGAATGTTTCATTGTGTTTGCTTTGTTGGATGTTGGGGATGATTCTCTGCCTGATGTCCTCTTGTGTCGCATGACTGAGGTTGTTTGTTTTCAATATGGATTCAAAGTTAGCTAGGAAATAGACTGGGTCTGCATCCTTGGTGTTGAAACTGAGGTTGTGTGTGAGGATGGCATTTTTTGTCATCTGACAGAGGTCTGCTGGATAGATTTTCGATCTATGAGTTGGAGTTGTCATCTTGTGGCTTTGAAGTGAACAACGTGAGCTTCCTTTATAGGGCATTGTGTTTCTGAAGTTTGTTAGATTTTCTGTTGACTGTGTGTTCCAAAATGCCTGTTAAGTTTTATCCAATAGTATTGAGGCATTCAGCTTTCTGTTGATATACCTGTTGTTCAGGGGCATGAAAAAGAGATGAAGTTACATGTTTACAATCTATGAAATAAATTTCAAATATGCCTAAAACATTTGTTAATATATGCAGAGAAACCATATGTGTATATACCTCCTGCAAAAAGAAAACAAAGAAATGCTAAAACATAGGACATGCATATGCTTGTTTTATAAATTGTAAACATAGTATTTTATTTCCTCTAATAGAGATTCTTCTAATAGATTCCTTCAAAGTACATTGGACCTTTTGGTATAATAAAGAATACATACATTTCTCACACTATTTCCCCCTTATTTTCCACCTGTTTGATTGACGAATTCCTCTCGTTGCTTTACAGCCAGTTTGAATTTCACTGGGCTAATGAAACTGCATCTTCATCAGTAACTGTTAGAAGGTAGAAGGTAGATTTTATCTACAACTGTATTCAATGTTTTATTTCTTGGCCTTTATTTCAGTTCTGTCTGAAAAAAATGTTTTGCCCTGCATTAATTTTTTTTAAAGGTGCCATGTCAATTTCCATGTGCTCAAACAATGTGACAATGATGTCAGAATTTTTAAGCACAACAGTTTTTATTCTACTTTATCATAGGCACTGGCAGTAAATGAGGCATAGTGATTTCTCACCTTGAGACTAACAAACAGGATAGGGGTACTTATATGCAACATATTGTTTAATTCAAGAAGATAAAACATGAGACTTTAAGGAGGTACCAAGCAACTCCTGAATCTTGTCTGTATTTACAATTAACCATTTCCAAAGCAAAGTTATTGTATTAAAATACATAGTAAAGTGCATGCCCTGATATAAACTCTTCTATTTCATTTTCTATTATGATAAGTACTAAGAAAAATCGGATCTACTTTGTAGTTATATATGGATGAAATTTGTGTCCACATCCATACCATTTGCTCCTCCTTGGTTCATCCCCCTGTATTTTGGGAATACAGATAGTCCTCAGCTTATGATCACAATTGGGACCATAATTTCCATTTGCTAAGCAAGGTGGTTAAATGAGCGACACACATCCAATTTTATATCCTTTTCTTGCCACAGTTGTTAAGCAAATCACAGCAGTTAAGAGAATCACATGGTTGTGAAAAAGAATCCAGTTTCTCCCGCTGATTTGGCTTGTAGGAAGCAGTTTGGGAAGGATGCAGATCATAATTACATGAGCCTGGGATGCTGCAAACATTGTAAATAGATGCTGGTTGCCAAGTGCCCAAACTCTGATTATATGGCAATGGGGATGCTGCTATGATTATAAGTGAAAGAAGAGTCATATGTCACTTCTTTCAGTGCCATGACTTCGAACAGTCACTAAATGAATGATTTTAAATTAAGGCTAACCTGTACTTAAAGCACATAGCCAGCATCAGATATGTGTTTGTAAAAGTGATACTCATTCAGTATGTGGGAGTTGATATTTTGTAATAATCTGCCTAACCTACAAAATAAAGATTTGGCTCCAGAGTTTGAATGTGGATAGTGAAGAGTAGGTGATATGCTTGAGGATAAATACATTTTATATATCTTATCAATTTGCAAGATATTCTATACTCTGCTGCAATGTTTATTAATCATTTTTCCCTCAGGACCCCTTTCCATTTTTAAAAATTATGGAGGACCCCAAAAGAGTTCTTGCTTGTACAGGTTATATTTACCAAGTTAAAATTTTTAAAAAATGATGCATTTACTGCCCTGTTATTTTTCATTACAGGCCAACAAATAATTTTGATTGCCTGACTCCCAAGAGGGGTTTGGTGAACTCCAGGAACCCTAGAATCACACTTTAAGAAATACTATCCTACTGTGTTAGGTGTTACACAACCCATTGGGTTTACTGTTTAATCTGTCCCAACCTATTGCTTTTTAAATGTTTTGATTCATTTCCTATCACTTTTACCATACCTTTTATCTGTGCAAACAGGAAGAATATAATTAGTCCATCCTATTTGGCAATAAACTGTTCCAACAGTATTTATTAGGAAATAATTACAGAATAATAAGGTGGCGATGGTATTAAGATACAGCGGCTCAGACACAAGCCGAAATAGTCGTGCTCCCAGCCATTTAATGCACAGCCCCGTAATTTTAGGGACAGGTATCCAAAGGATAGAGTTACAGAACTTGCATTTACTCATTTCTTTATTTCCATGCCAGGACAAAAAAAAAAAAGCTGTACCTATTGAGGTTTCTCCCTGTCAATCTACTTTAAAGCCCAGAAGGAAAGCGTGGATGTGCGTCCCACCCACCCCTTCACACCCTCCTCTTTTTTTTTTTTTACAGGATAATAATAATAATAATCGATCTCGCGACGACTCAGAAGCTCCGGGGCGTGGGGGAGAGAGAGAGGGAGGGCGAGTGGGCAAGCGCGTGGGGCTCTGGGAAGCGACGCAGGCGGAGGGGGGTGGAGTAGGGAAGGGAAAGGAATATAAGTCGCAGAGGCCTGTGGGAATGGGGGGGGGGGAGGGAGAGAGCAGGAAACAGTGCTTTTGCTTGGGGAGGGAAACTTCCGGTTCCGGCTGGGCCTGTGTGAGTTGCAGCCTGGCAGTGCCCCCCCCTGCCCCCACCCGTGAGGGAGCAGAAACGCCCCCCCGCGTATCCTGGGGGTAAGGGAAGGGCCAGGGGACATCTCCCCCCACTCTAAATCTTGCTACCCAAGGACCAGCCCCTGCCTGGGGCGCGGAGGAGGCTGGGGCAGCGCCACACACCGGTGAGTGCCACCATGGAGCCCACTCTTGGCCCTTCGATCCTCTCCCCCCCCCCCCCCCCTCCGTACCTGGATCCCGAAGGCGAGATATTAAAAAAAAAAAGGAAGAAAAAAAACCCCGCGCAGATAGCAACAACCGCAACGCGCGGCTTTGATTAACTTCCGCTCCCTTTGAACAGCCCCACCCCGGCTATTCTGCCATCCTGGTTTACCCCCCCCCCCACTCCGGCCCAGGCTGGCGCCCTTTTCGCGTCTTCTCCCTTTTGCCCCGTCCTCGCCTCTGAAGAGCTGGCTTCCACCCTCAACCGAAGTCCCGCGCTTTTGTCGTCGTCTCTCCCCACCCGCCCGGCGAAAGTTGTGCTATATAGTCCTTTATAGCACAACTTTCCCCTAGATGAGCCCCGAAATTCTGCCTCCACAATAAACTATTGTCCTCTCATTTCATCCTTAAAGCCACCCGGAGCCACGAAAGGGCGCCTCGCCGTAGGCGTCGAAAAGATGGCCAGATTCCATATTCTTTCCCATAAAATAAATGTTTTCATAAATATACCTTCAATCAGCCTGTAAATGAATTATACAGTCTCTTTCATCCAGAAAGTTATGATTTTGCTACTTGCCTCAAATGTTACCTGAACTCCATATTTTTTGTTGTTGTTTAATTGTCTGCCAGTTCTTTAAAAATTTCTAAGAATCTAGAATGGCACCTCATATCTAATTAGATCTTGGGTCTAACAAAATTATTTTTTGTCTATAGCAGCTCTCTCCATCTTAATGCTTGGATGCATTGGACTGCAACTCACATAAATGTTAACGGTTCCTAGGAATGAATGGATTTGCACATAAATATAATTCAAGGCAACAAAGCTAAGGTTTTTCCTGTTTCTGCTATGGTATTGGCTCTTCAGTGATTCAGATGGGTGACCTTCACAAGCCTAGTTATGAAGATAACAGCACCTCCCTAGTTTGGATATTTCAGTAACAGGTTGCAGGAAGATAGCCCTCTAATCAGCCCACAAGACATTCTTGCAACATTCTATTAGCTTTAATGTATTAGCTCTTATTTTTCTGCCCACCTTATCTTTGTTATTGTTTCATGTTCTTTCTGTCTGCTTTGTAACAGATTGTAGACTTGAACTCCTTCTTACATATCTTATTAGTCAGAAAAGTACATAAGTACACTGCAATGTTTTTGTTTTTACTAACGAGATTGGCTCTGTCTTACATTGCTGTATGCAAGATGTTCTCATTTATTCTCTAGCTAAAATGGCCCAAATACTCAATACATCCTTCTTACCCATTTTCTGCATGTTTAACTCACTGAACTTGAACTTGATGTCAGTCCAATTCCTTAATCACTGAATCACACCGTTACTAATATTAATGTATAGTACAACATTAGGTACTTTGGGTTTTTTTTTTGCCTTTAGTACACCTTCTTTTTTACATTAAACACAGATGTTTGTAATAGACTACTCCCTTTCAGGAAACTTTTCTCACTCCTTGCTGTGCCATATTCTTTTATCTGAGAATCCTAGGAATTGATTTCCAAACTTTCATCGTTTGCATTATACCTTGCTAAAATAGGAAAAAATGTGATTCATTCATCCATGTTGATAAAGTGGGATGGAGCTGGATGACAACATTTTTCAACCTTATTTTTCATTAAGTGCAGAAAAGAAAGTGATAATTTGGGATCTTAATTTCTTGCGACTAAATAACTAAATAAAAGCTAAATTAAAATGTATAGCCCTCCTTTCTATTTACATAAACCCTGACATAGCTTACAGTAAAGTTTAAATTAAGTATAATTAACTGAAAATTAACTGAAAAAAGTGTTGAAGGTGAATCATTGAACAAGGCAAAATAGATAACCTTCACAGAGCTGTTACTTTTTTACTCTTTTTCATTGCGCTGTGTAATCTACCTTTTNTTTGTTGCCATGGAGACCACCTTGAGCACGGAGTTTGATGTGTTCCAAGCAGAATCTTTGTTAAAAAAAGGCCTCAAGGCCTTGGGTGTTGTGAAAGCTGCAGGAGGGTTTTAAAAAATACTATCTCACTCCTGGTGTTTTGTTTTGTTTTTTTCCTGTCTCTCCCTTAGCTGCAGCAATATGTTCAGACAAAAAGCAGAGAAACAAAATAATGGATTCAGGATTCTGCACTCATCTTAGTGCAACACACTGCAAATGGCTTCATTCACGCCACTTTCTCAAAAAAGTGGCCCAAGACATCTGTTCCGCAGCTGGTCCAATCCATCCCCGGTCCTCAAGGATCATTCTCTATTTGAGCTCTTTTTGAATTTTGATGTGAAATAGTCAATGTTTCATTTTTTTTTTTTTAAAGGAGGAAAAAGCATCCTTGCAGGGTTTCCTTCTGATAGCAGAAGAGACCTGCTTACATAAAAAAAGAGACTAAGATTTAAAGATGAAGGGCCTGGAGGCTAAAACATATGAAGAATTGTTGCAGGAATTGGGTTTGTCTAATCTAGTGAAGAGAAAGACTAAAGATGACATGATAGCAGTCTTGCAATATTGGAGAGGCTGCCACAAAGAAGAGGAGATCAACCTATTTTCCACAAGCAAGACAAGAAACAATGGATGGAAACTAAACAAGGAGAGAACCAATCTAGAAATAAGGAAAAATGTCCTGACAATGAGAACAATTAATCAATGGAATGGCTTGCCTTTTGAAATGGTAGGTGCTTTACCACTATTAAGGGACTGGAAAGCCACTTGCCAGAATGGTATAGGGTCTCCTGCTGAGCACTAGAAGATCAACAAAGTCCATTCCAACTCTGTTATTCTGATGCTCTTGTTCATAGCACTATGTGGGTGGAGAAACCATTACGATAGCCAAGGGGAAAGTGACCTGCCCTGGAAGAAGCTCCCTACCTTCGTTACCTACTCCTGCACTACATATTGTCTAAAGATTACAATATCAGGCTAGAACACAGGTGTCAAACGTGCCGCATCATGTTGCCATCATGTCACGTTTCGCGATGTTTTTCCCACTGGTGGAGCTGGGATAGGCGTAGCCTGCATGTGATGCATCCGGCCCACAGGCCGCCAGTTTGACACCCCTGGCCTAGAAAGTAGGGGACAGTGAGTTCAAGTCCCGCCTTAGCAATGAAAAACAATTGGGTGACCTTGGGCCAGTCATTCTCTCACAACCCAACCCACTCAGAGGGTTGTTGTGGAGAAAATAGAAGGAGGAGGATATGCTGGATTTTGTAAAAATAATAAAGTTGGTGTGTATATATAATAAAGTTGGTATGTATGTATATATGTATATGCTGGTCTTGTATGTATGTATATGCTGGTCTTGTTGTATTCGGATCTTTTCCCGTGTAAGATTGAGATTGTCTTGGCAACATTTCGGCGAGGTCAAAACAATCTCAATCTTACATGAGAAAAGATCCGAATACAACAAGACCAGCATACCTATACCCGTGAAAATCTATGAAACACACACACACACACACACACGTAATAGAGCAGTAGTAGATGCAAGCCTGATGCTCCAGTCACCAATTGGTGTAATAGACATGCAGCCACCATATCCTAAAGCAGAAATAAGAATCCTATGCTCCAGCGTCCCATTCCCAAGTCCCATTTTTGTGGTACTTGCAGCCCCCACAAACTATAATTGCTGAAATCCACACCAGTTTTCTCCAATTTTTGGATTAAAATTGTAATACAAGGCCTGAAATTAAAAATAAAACAAAATCCTAACTGTCTGTACAAACAAGTTATTTGAGGTGGCTATGCCCTTTTCATATGCTCAGACTCTTCCCAAATGCATATAATATGTGATTATTGGTCACCATAAAATTGCCCAACTCTTTACCAAAGGAACTGAGATAAAGATGCCCTAAATCTAGTGACAGCTGCTTTTAGTCTTCTATAATCCCTTTCTTTGTAGAAAAGTAGAAAGAAATATATAGCAATGAGATGTTCTTTTTGCAGGAGATACATACACATATGGTTTCTCTGCATATATTAATGAATGTTTTAGGCATATTTGAAATTTATTTCATAGATTGTAAACAATACTTTTATTTGTATTTATAATCACATTATTTGCGTATGCTGCCTTGAGAGTCTAATTTGAGGATTTAACAGTCAATTACTGTAAATACTGAAATATTAACATAATAAAATTCCTCACAGATTTTCTCTGTGAAAAAGACACAGTGCCAGTTAATGCATGTTTCAATTTGAAATGCCAGATTTCTTGATATAATGCCTAGATTTTTATGAATTTTAGAACAGGTAGAAAATTTTAAAAAAACTGGTGTGAGGAAAAAGTATATTATTTATTATAGCAAAAACCCAGCAAATTTTGAAAGAATACCTGTTTTGGAAATGATGGAAAATATTTGTAATTCGGGTGGTAGAGGTGGCGGTGGTTTGTTCTTCGAGCTTGCTGTTTGGTTTCTGAATGTTTTGTCGCCAGGCTAGGCAACATCTTCAACAGGACTTCAGTTACAGCTTCTTGTTTCAGTTTCCTTCTGCCTTTATCTATCCTAAGTGGTGACATGGTCAGTTGGTTGCATAGTGTGAAGGTCACCACATGAGGAAGTGGCCAGTGCTGTCATTGGTTGGTCATCCGATTGATCCAGCTCCTTATATGGGCTTCTAGGCTGGTTCCAGATTGATATGTTTGTTGATTGACCTATTCGTTGAATACCAGACTTTGATGAATTCGCATGCCTGGCTTGTGGTGGCATGGCCAATGATTTTTTTCTGTCCCAGTTGAACTGGCGCTCCTCGATCCCAGCATGGGTCAAGAGCAGAGATTTGTGAGAGGAGGAGCCAACATCGCAACGATACGGACTTGCGGTCTCGATGCTCCGAGACCGCAGCCGATACTTTTGCCACTGGGTGGTCCAATCGGACCTAAACCGTCTCGCAGAGATGGTGAACAGGAAGAATACGTCTTGCTGAACTCAGGACATCACAAAGTCCCTGATGGATCCAAGAGAAGTTCTTCAAGCCGGTGACAAAAAATCCAGCCATTAGGCTGATGAAGTCGGGGCAGCTCCAAAATGGAAAGATACAGAAAAAGAAAGTGTTTCCAGCTGGTGAGGAATTTTTGCCGTTTTAAAAGAGACTGCCTATAAAAAACTTAGTTAATTTGAATTTGAGAACAGAAGAAATAAGCGGTGTAATTAAGCTTTGAATGGTTTTGGACAGTGGGTTATCTTNTTTCTGAAATCTCTAAATGAGCCCTCTGCATCTTTTCCAGTTTTTCATGGCTGCCTTTGAATCATTTGTTCAGTGTATTACTTATCTTAAACTTCTGCTTCATGACTGAACAAGAATGTTCCAGATGATTTTGGACTGCCATTCTCATCATTCTTGGTAACTAAGCAAGACCTTTGGGGAAAAAAGCTGAGGCCACATATAAAATGTAGTTCTGTATTGAAATTAAATGGATTAATACCTTTCTTTTAAGACAGCAAAATACTAAATTAAAATGTAACTTTTCCATGCTGTTCTAGTCCATTTTTCTAATATTTTACATGAACTTGGAAAAAAGGAGAAATAGATATAATTGTGAAGATATTTATGAAGTATGTTTTGAGATATAAAACATGGTAAAATTAGCTTTGCAATTTTGATATATGAAAGTTCTGTGGTGATATTTGTTTTAATTCTTAGTACCCACGGGAATTTTTGTTGTAACATTTCTTCAACTCAAACAATTGTACAGCACACATTTTGTATTCCACTGTTGGTTTTTAATTAGTATGCACTTACATCTAAATATATTACAAACAAATGATAAAAATCACCGCACTAGAAAAGTGTGTACCAACAATATACTCCAATGGTAACTTTTTAAATAGATGCACATGTTCATAATTTTGGATTCCCAATTTTTTGTATGGGACAAATAGAAACTGAATTTTCTTAAGAAAAATGTGAGGGAATTGTGTAACCAGCGTCCAAATGGAGTCAGAGACCTTGACACAAACTTGCAGTTTTGTATAAATAAATATATTTACAGTAAATAATAGGCAAATGTCAGGTAAAACAACACGGCAGGAATATCAGGTAAATTACAGAGAGCACACACACACACAAAAACACACACACCACATGGGAAACAAGCGGGGGGGGGAACCTTTACTCCAATTATAGCTCAGATTTCCTCATGTGATGGCCCACTCTCTTTAACCAATTAGCTATAACTGTGTTCTTACTCATTGTCCAACCCTTCACTGCTCCAGCTATTAAATTTTTAAATCTCTTAATATAACTGGACAGCATTTAAACCAAATTGTTCCATAAGATACTTGTGTTTTTCTATATATTCATTGGCTTTGTCATGAGGTCAGCCAAAATATCTTCCGGTGGACAATAAATTAGGTCTATTACATTTTCGTTCACTGCGTCTCTGACATTACAAGAAAACACACCATGCCACTATGCAGCTGCTGATAATGGAGAACCTGTATCATGTATACATATTGCTATAGTCTTTCTCCCCTTTCTCTAGGCAGTGCCCCCTCCCGGGTGGAGATGGAAGCCAATGCAGCAAGCGATGAGGGTGTGCATTTTCAAAGCTACCCTTTTGACTTCTTGGAGTTCCTGAACCACCAGCGCTTTGAACCTATGGAGGCCTACAACCACGAACACACCAAAGCCGTTGCTGCCCTCCCTTGCCCACAGCCACACTATGAATACCCCCAGCCACCAACAGCTGCTCCACCTGCTCTCTTTGACCGTGTCCCTGCCACCATTGGCACACCTAAACTCAAAGCTGAGGGCCCATCCTCTCCTTCCTCAGCCACATCATCTGGTACCGTTCAAGTCAAGAAAGCTGAACCAGGGGCCCCTGCACCACCTCCACACCCCCAGCAGCAGCAGCAACCGCCATACAGTACTCCAGCCGCGGTACCAACAGGAGGTCAGCCTCTCTTTGA